ATTTAATTGAAGCAAAATTTTTTTTATTGCTTGAACCTTATTTCATGTTTCCACACAACGGTGTCCTAGTTACTTGAAGTAAGACAATTGATGACCCGAATTCTGAAAAATAATTCAAAATACTGTAGCAACCGAATCTAACCTTAGCGTTTTATGGAGACATGAACTCAAAGGAACAAACTACAAATACAAATAGATCTCAGAACTTAGAGGAATTTGAAGTCGAAGAGAGCTTAAAATAAGTTACTTACGAGCAAGAAAGAATTCATACGAAATGCGGAAGTCTCCACTCTAAAGTCAAACGCTTGTGAAGTCTTGTCTGCAATCATTCATGAACGTTTAACACTGCCTTTTGAAAGGAAATAGAGACAGCACTCAAGTAACAGAACAATAAATAGCGCAAAGAAATCTTCAAAATATCGATTAGCTGGATTAGTTCACGAAATCAAAACTATTTGCCCAAAGTGTTAACAGAGGCGCGATTCAACCGAAGGGACTGAGAGTAGAAAGTGAATAAACCGACATTCAAGCATTGGAAAAAAAATCACATTAAAGCGGTAAAACTGACCTTTTTGAAAATCTAGTACAGGGAAATAAGTGCTGAACAACATAGACGAGCATTTATTGAAATCCAATGATTGAATCATAAAATTTGGATTTCGGAGGTGAACTACCTTTTTATCCTACAGCACGATTTCAAACAATTAAATGAAGTGAGACACTTTGAAACCTCGCTTATGCTCTCGGTATCAACAGTTAAAATAGGAATTTTTTATCTAGGATCGGCGACAAAAATGAACTATTTACGATGCTTCAGGCGATAACAAAACCCATTGACTTAAATTCAAACGGAGGAGAATTAAATAAGCAATTACTAACAAGTGCCTGAGGAGGAAGTTTTACCATTGCTTGTAGCCGGTTCGAGAGTCCAAAAGCGAACACCACCATCAGAACATGACATAGCCATGAGATATGGGGGCTGCATAAACTCATTTGACCAAATTATTGGAGGAGGACCGCGTTTAACGCACTGCACCGATACTCCTGGTTCCATGGGCAGTATTTCATCACTTATCTAAAAAAAAATATATAACAAATATTTTGCTATATAAACAGATTTTAAATAGCTTTAAGATAAGGGATACATACCTTAGCAATTGAACGCACAAAAGAGGCATTGGATCTTTGACGAATTACAAGAGGCTCGATACCACTGGGTATCCCACTTATTAGTCGATCAGGGTTCAATTCAACTCGCCAAACCTCCATTCGACAAACTGTTAACTAAAATGCAAGAGAAATAAAGTCAAGTTAAAGGTGGAAACGAGCGAGAATAGAGGAATTTATGAAAAATAAATGACGACTGACTCCATTCGTTTGTTTGACAGAGAGTGCTCGTATGATAAGGAAGGTGGAAGACGTCGAATCGATCAAGAAACTAGGAGATTGAATAACAAAGAGCAAAGATGTCGTTTCGTTTCCCAAGGAGACAGCTTCTGGTAACTCGTCTGATGCCCTGATAATGCCTGTTGTATCTATGCAGAAGAGTCCAATGTCTGAGTTTGATTCGATGACAACGACGCTAAGGGGGAGCTGAAGCATCTTAGCATTGGACGTTGGAGTAATTGGAGGTGTGATAATACAGGGAAAGAATGCAGCTGATCGAAGGAATTTTGTTTCACTATGATTGATGAATTGGCCAAACTTTCTCAATGAGGGAGAAAAATGAGCCGAGAGAGGACTAGGAGAGCACAGAGGAATGTGCCAGAGACTGAATTCAGAGGAGGAGAGAGTAAGCACAAGAGGGAGAAGAGGGTGATGAAGAAAAAGTATCACAGATTCGCTATGTCCGTTGGCTTGGCGCACAGCTTCAGAGGTAGTTGAGGTGACGTTGAATGAACCGGAGTTCTGTACGAGTGCATTGCAACCCACTGACTGATGCTTGATAGAACCACGAGACTCACCAATTCCCACAGTGTACAAACCTAACATCAGCTGACTGCAAGAATTCGGCGACGACATGCAATCCAATTGAATCTTCACAAAAAAGAGATGTAGTTGAAATAAAGGACAATAGTAATAATAATAGTGTTTACATTAAATACGTGTAAATCAAAGACAAAATGCTTTAAAGATAAAAAAGATAAATTGATGAAAAGGTTGGTTGATTTTAGGGCTCCTGGTAGTCGACCTCCTCCTCCTCCTGATTCTTCAATGAACCTGATGGGGCTCTAAACTTCAAGCATGATTTTCAAGACCCCTAACGACGACAACGGTTTAAAACAGAACACCTTTTATTGCTATATATAATTCTATACTCTATTCTACTTCGAACATTAGTATTCATTTAACTTTGTGGAAATAGACAAAATAAATCCTCGCATTTGTATTGCCGCATTATTAACCGAAAACCATGATAGATGCGCGAGCTCTGATAAGCTTGGGAACGCAAACAACTGAGATTAAGAGAATTATTTAAGTCGAATTAGTTTGGCTGCTACATTAGATGATGAAGACCTGCTATTAATATTCTTTTCATCAAATCAGATAGTAGTTTTTGTGCATCCACTAAATCTAGACTATCCACGATACACAACATATGTATCAAAAAAGAAGTTGGAGTGGTTATCATAATTCGAGCTGAATTAAATAGACACACCAGGAAACCTTTTTTCCTCAACCGGTTTTTGGATTCAATAGACGATAGTGTATAGCGCTGCCTAAAACGTGATGTAGAGTAAGCTAAGTGTGTTCCAGTCAGAAGAACTCATGGGTACTCGTATGGACACTAGAGAAAAAAAATAGACCACAGGAATGGGAAGAAAGTACTGGGTAGAATTAAGTTTCGCACAGTATATAGCAATATGAAGAAGCATGAAAAATGTGACTCCAAATCAGATTACGGATTTGATGGAAGTCATGAATGATGCGACTTGAACATTCATTTCAAATGGCAGGCAGAGTTATCATTAGCCCTTTGGATAACTTCAGGCTTCACATAGAGGAAGGAACATCAAAGTAACAGGAAGTCGAGGAATGGGGAACAGAAGAGTGATTTACAGTTGTAAAAGAGACAGGCGCAAAAGTAGAGTGAAAAGGTGAGGTGAGTACTGTAGAAGTAGTCGAATATGACATACAGTAGGGTGACGGTTTGAATTCAGAAGTCAACTGCCTGTTAAAAGATTTGAACATAGGGAGCATTAATAGCGTTGGTAAATGGGCGTTTAATTTTAACAGGTCGATGAAAATTTTGCCCTAATAGGATCTTTAGATATTAAATGATTCGAATTATGGCCAATTTAACTGCACACTTGGGTCAAAAAATTATTATAAAAGGTAGTGATGGATCATAATAGATGGATCTAGAGGCCACTTATGACTGTAATGAAAAAAAGCATAAACGTCTAATTCATTACTTGAATTTCAAATAAACCGACTTGTTAGAAGTGACTGACTAATAAATGGTTAGATCATGTGATTTAAAAACCGAGTTGATTTCCTGTCGCTCAGTATG